GGGGGGGGGGTTGGGGTGACCACGGATTGGGGGTGAAAACCATGCGATGGCTGTTAATTATGGGGGGGGGGGCAAGGCAATATGAGGGGACAAGACAAAATGAGGGGACAAGACAATAGGATGGGTGGCAAGATGAAATTGACAAGAAAATATGAGGGAAATGGACAATATGAGGGGAAAAGACAATATGAGTGAAATAGACTATAAAAGGGACAAAGACAATATGAGGGAAAAAGAAAATATGAGGAGAAAGAGAAAATATAAGGGGGGAAAACAATATGAGGGGTGTTATGTAGGACGTGTTTACGTCATATTTCCCCCGTGCTGAGATTCGTAGCAGACGCTGCGTTCGTATTGGGCGTGGCTTTATTTCTTTTGATCTACTTTACCATAAATTAAGCTATCGCCTGTTTTGGTTGAGTCGAAGGCCTTAGAAAATTATAGTAAATTGTGGAATGTTCTGGTTACTAGTACAATCCGGACTAGACCCAGGATTTTCGGTAGAACCGACGATAAAAGCAACGAGAGCAATATTGAGATATAGTGTTTTTTTTTACTTCACATGAACACAGTGTGTTATTCTGTGTGTGTGAATTTGTATTCATCATTAGTACCTTATTTTTTGGCACATTGTATTAACTGTGTACCGGTACAAGACTTCCCATACTCTGTAAGTTGATGATTGTAATTATATTTCTTTTATTTTGTCATTATATTGATAACTTAATAAATCTGTTACGCACTGTTGAGAACGAGCCACAAAATTAAAATAAGAGATTCATTTCTCACAATTGACAGCAGTGCTCAACAAGGGGATAAGACTATATGAGGAGAAAGAGACAATATGAGGGGATAAGACAGTATGAGGAGAAAGAAACAATATGAAGGGAAAAGCTAATATGAGAGGACAAGACAATAGGAGGGTAGAGACAGCATTGGGGGAAAAGACACTATGAGGGGACAAGACAATATGAGGGTAAAAGACAATATGAGGGTAAAAGACAATATGAGGGGGAAAGACAATATGAGGGGAAAAGACAATATGAGCGGATGCTTGCATATTGGGGATACGTTATAAATGCAGGAGACATCATAATCACGCCTTATAAAATGTGCTTCAATTTGATATAAAAGTGTGTAGATATAGATCTATATATCTACACACTTTTATATCAAATTTCTATATTTTCCCCAACTCCCATTACAACCATTTCAGTTACCTTGAATGGAAGAGCCAACGTCAAAACTTTACCCAAAGCAAAGGACAGTTTAAAAAAAAAAAACACATTATTTTTAGCGTTTGGTCTATGAAGACGTCTACCGTATTTAACAATGTAAAGGTCGTACTAGTGGAAGTTTACACACCTAATTTTTATCGAAATTTTGGTTGTGACCTACACGCGAATATATAGTATAGATTATTATTATTTTTTTTTTAAAACCGTTTTGGAAAGTTCACAAGCCCTTCGAGAGCGCCCCCCCCCCCCCACTCCCAGATCGCTACTGAATGCATACGTGTTTAGCTGTACCTGAAGTCAATGATGATGGTCCCCGGATCAGGTCCGGTCAGACGACGGAACTCGTGGTTCACATGGTTAGTGTGGAAAAAATCTTTTACCTGTAACAGGTTTTTAAAAAATGGAAATTGTGTGGGTGTAGTTATGTGCATAGGTTGCACATTGAAAGAGTAAGGCATCGGATTTTTAAATCAACCCCCCACCACCTTTTTCCCCGCACAAACACACACAATTTTCCATTTTTTATAAGATGAAACAAAATTGTGCAACTCTTTTTTTTTTTTAAATTTTATATAAGATAAGCTAAAATAAGATACAATAATATTGTTTTTTGATCCATATTATAAAAAGACATGTTTAAAAAAAATACATTGTACATAGCCATTGTCAGCACAAAAATAAATATATGTTTTAACAAAGCCAGCAGTTTCAAATTAGAGCAATTTAAACACAAGATATTTTAAGTATTGCTCTTGCGTAAAGATCAGCCATCATATACTAAAAAGAACATAACTCCCTAAAAAAACAACTTTAATTAATGATCATTTAGATTTGGTAACCACTGTGGGGGGGGGGGGAGGAGCACTCTAGTAAATTATGACGTAGTGAGGAACATAATTTGTTAAAATAACTTTCGGTCCTAACTTTAAGGGAAAGAATTCACCCTGATCGAACTGATCTTAGTTATCTGTGATGGAGGCTTACTTCTTGATGTTTCATTGGCCATTTTAGCAATCTGATAATAAATTATTGGAACAATAACTTTAAAAGACGAAAAAAAATAAGGAAAATATAAATAAATTAAAAATTGTTTTATTCTTGGTCTACTTCCACATCTTTATTCAAATTGCACTAATCCGAGTCGGTGAATCTCTTCACCATTTGTTCTAAAGCAGTGGTTCTCGGCCTGTGCGTCGCGACCCTTTTGGGGAGTCGGACGACCCTTATACAGGGGTCGCCTAAGACCACAGGAAAACACATATTTATTGAGTAGCAACGGGAAATAAGTTAGGGTTGTGTGTGGGGGGGAGGGGGGTAGTCACATCAACACGAGGAAATGTATTAAGGGGTCGCGTCATCGGGCAGATTAAGAACCACTGTTTTTAGAGGATGCCGTAACGAATTTATCATTGTGTTTATTTGTCTTACCGCCGGATTGCGAGTAGTGCAATCACGCGTGACTCCACTCACCTTAACTTTCAGCTTGTGACAGTTGGATTTGTCCGTCTGCTCTAGTTCTGCCAACACGCCAGGGCTGGGGCCGACCTCGACCGTTTGAAAGCAGCTGCACAGCCTGGAGCAGCAAGACCTCCTGGGCTTCTGCGCGCCTGCGCCCGGCAACATGGTCCGATTTTCCGAGATGTCAAACGATTTCCTGGGTTCTGCAGTCATTCGCTGTCTTAAAAAATCCTCAGCCACATAGCAAACATACACCTGCAGTGCGTTGATAGAAAAACATAACGATGATGTTGTTGTCAGAAAGTTCACCGTTGTCCAAAAACAAAAAGACAACACTTGCCTTCAAAAATAAGGCAAGTGATGGCTGTTTCGGTATGTTTCCATGGAAACATGTCATCATATCACCATGCAATGTCTCAAAATCCCCATGTCAACAAGTCTCCATATCACCATGTCTGTATTTCCTCCCCCGCGTCAATGGCTCCGCATCAACATGTCGATATGTTTGAATATCACCGTGTTAATGTCTCCGTATCACCGTGCCAATGTCTCCTGCATCAACATGCCAATATGTCTCCGCATCACCATGTCAGTGTCTTGTAATGGCTCCCCATTTACTTTCATTCATCTTTTCTGGTGAATGAACGTAAGCTGACCCCCAATTCGGCTGCACTGCGCTATTGGTAAGGCTTGGCTTACTAATTATAGTCTCCCTTTGACCTCGAATACAAACCATAATCATTGTCTGTTTTTATTATAATTTTGTAGAACATTGTAGACGATTTGAGAGGCGACTACAATTTTCTAGAAGCATCTCAGAATCAGGCTATACCAAGCCAAAGGATTGCAAGACAGAGACCAGACGACAGACGAGAGTTATTTTGAACGTGTGCTATTATTGCTAGAGAGCTTTGTTTACTGTGTGTGTGTAAATTTCCTTTTCATCATGTGTACCCTTTTTGCACATTGTGTTTTCTTCAACAGTGCATCTTCTTCAACACTGTACCGGTACAAGCCAAACATTATTCAGTAAGTCGTTAGTTTTAATTATATTTCTGTTTGAGTTTGTAATTTATTATTATTATTTTAGTAACACTTAATAACTGTAATTAGCCCTGTTTTGAGTATCGTATTCTTTGTTATTGTATTTAACATATGGTATCGTCTTTTGTTGTGTATGATTTCCTGGGTTCTGCAGCCATTCGCAGTCTTAAAAAATCTAAAAAAGCCATACACTTAAATAAGAGATTAATTTATCCATACTGATAACAGTGCGTAACAGTCTCCATATCAACATGTCAATGTGTTTCCATACCACCATGGCCATGTGTCCCTACATCATTAGTTAAAAATATGTCTTCGTATTACCAGGGCCTGATATCCAGCAGTACCTTGTTCTCAGGCTTGTGTATGTATCGCAGGTAGAACTCCAGGCAGTATTCACTGTGCTCGCTGGCATCCAGGGGCATCACCACGACACACGCCTCTGGCTTGACGATAGTCTGCAACCAAGAAATGCAGGAAAGTGAGTACATTGGCTCAGAGCCTCCCAACCCCAAGGGGGTGCGAGCTGGCATTTCACATTATGCAAGGAGAAGTGACGTAAGAGCAGATGAGCCATAGGGTTTTTAGTGATGTAAGAACAGATGAGCCATAGGCTTTTTAGTCACGCAAGAACAGATGAGCCATAGGCTTTTTAGCCACGCGAGAACAGATGAGCCATAGGCTTTTTAGTGACTTAAGAACATATGAGCCATGGGCCTTTTTTGTAATGTGACTAATGGTATCTAAAGAATTTTCTTCATTGGACTTTTAAAAATTTCAGTAATGTTATTGTCACAAAATTATTAATACTTTGTTTTTTTTAAAGTTCCCGAGTACTTGACGTAATTTAATTTACGCTTAAGTTATAATTTCCATCCATCCATCCCTGTGGCGCTACAGCACATGTAGGGCTTTGGACTAGCTCACTACTTCCTTCCACTCAGACCCAACTAATGCTTTTATTTTCCATGCTTGGATTCCAAGCTGTTGTCGATCTTTTTCCCCCCACATCATCCACCCATCTAAGCCCAGGTCTGGCTTTGAGCCGTTTTCCTCAGGGGTTTAGTTCATGCACCCTCTTCACTCTTCTGTCGTTTGGCATTATCTCTAAGCGTCCCGCCCAGCGTAGCCTACCATTCCCCCCCCCCTGTTACTATCGTGGGATCCTGATATAGACAGTACCATTTCTGATTGGTTCGTATTCTCCATCCATATATTCATCCTTTGTTGGTCCATATTATATTTACCGGAGAAATTTTCTCTCCAATGTGTTTAATATGTTAAAATTTGGCTCCAAATTTTATAATGCATGGCTTCTTTTTTTAAAGGGGGTGTGATACTTAGACAAACTAATGAAAAGGGGAGGGGGGGGTTTGCAGAATATTGAAAAGGTTTAGAAACCATTACATTCGTTGGTAGGTAAGCACTAGGTTCCCTCCTTACGGTCTGTTTGTTGTGGCACACTTTATATGATATACCGGTATATATATATTGTTTTCGACGGCTCCATCAGTTAATGCATTTAGTAGACAGTTTTAAATTAAGAAGAGTCAATGTCAGGTCGACACAGATCAATGCGCACAGTCGCAAGTAATAGCGGCTGGTTCTTGGTCCATGTGCTTAAAATAGATATTTGGACCACTGGAAGCTCTGTTTTTGGGCAATCTTTCAAAGACAAAAGATTTTAACTTATGTTTTTTTTCTCCCTTTTTTTTCATATGTAAAATATAAGTATTCGGTTTTAGTTGCATTGTCGGCCCTTTGGGATCATGAAGTGGGTTGCAGTTGGGCACTCGATCTTTTAAAAGTTGATTCTTGAAAGTGTTCGCTACAGTCCTAGTTAATGGTCAGGCCGATGCTGATGCAACGCACGCTAAATGGCCGTAAAGGGGGTGGGGGGGAGGGTTATCCTGGATAGCCGCTTCTTGGTCGCTTCTGGCGATAACATATATATTATAACTAGCTTTCATCGTAATCACCCGGAGCAACACAAAATACTGCGACCAGAAGCTTGGGCCGGATCTTGGATGGTGGTCCCAGGCATGTTGCTGCTGGGAAGCTAAGCCGAACAACCGACCGTTAGACTAATTCATTTTCAGGTCCCCCCCCCCCCATACCCTACAATCACACGAGCAATTTTTCAAATGTACGAGAGGAGCTTAGGACCCAAGAGAGCTGCGATCCTAGACCCAAGAGAGCTGCGATCCAAGACCCAAGAGAGCTGCGATCCAAGACCCAAGAGAGCTGCGATCCAAGACCCAAGAGAGTTGCGACCACTAGGTCTAACGTCTAAAACTAGATTAACTCAATTTGAATGGCTTGAAAAAATATAAGCAAGTACCACACTAATTGTTTAATACCATTTTAATAATAGATTTAATTATTTTTTTTTAAATTTTGCAACTAAAGAAATCCAAAATTATTTTTTTTTCCCTTCTAATTGTGTATGATTCAGGGGGCATTTAAAATAACCTAAACAACAACACAATTCTGAAATGGTGTTGAGAGCTCTAGGTTATTTTCCCCCATCACTGGGTACGGTGGTGGGGAACAATGTATATGTGTTTATGGTCTATGTCCACGTGGGGAAATTCCCGAGGCGGGGGTCCGACGAGCACCATTTCATGTGAAATTTGAACCAAGCTATTTTTAGAAGAAAAGAAAAGAACAGCACAGGGGGCAAGACAGAATGTCATATTCCATCAACAAGGAGCGTTATGAGTGTATGTGTCGTAGGTCATCCACAAACAGTGTATTTGTCGTGTGTCGTAGGTCATCCACAAACAGAGTATATGTCGTGTCGTAGGTCATCCACAAACAGTGTATATGTCGTGTCGTAGGTCATCCACAAACAGTGTATTTGTCGTGTGTCGTCAACATGAAATGTATATCTGGTATATCACCAAAATACAATGTACAGGCTGGCCCAGAAAAAAAGTGAAAGCACATCTCTTACAGTGTTATATAATTACATCAGCATTTTGTTAACATTTACAGATTTACTTAATTACCCATATATCTATATGATATCAGACCTGTTTACCCTTACGATTTTGGCGTACAATGTACGATTTTGAGGTGTACACATTATATACACTGTGTGTCTTTTTACTATTAAGATCATGTATTGAACGATTTTGTGATGATATTGTACGATTTTAAGAGTTTGGGGGTAAACAGGTCTG